CACCACTTTAGCCGTCTATTGATCTCCGAGGTCAAGGTGTCTCACGTCTTTCATTAACAACTAATATTCTGTGAGTCAGACGATTTTAGTCATATGTTTCTCCAAAGTTGTATTCAATTGTGCAATTTGTGCCATCATTTCCTCCAATCTAGTTGACCACTCGGTTCCGACGGACGAATTTGAAGATGTCGCTTTTTTCTTTTTCTTTTGCTTTTGCTCGAGCTTTTGCTTTGTCCCTTCCTATGGGACGAGGAGGCGGGCATATTTTTTCGATGTCGACGTTATCATGATTAAGATCAACGCATATGTGACCATCTGACATCCAATGACATTTGCTGTGAGCTCGAATATGAAGATGTTTTGCTTCTTTTTGGCGGATTAGCAATGTCTTCATGTGTTTCAAGTTCCTTTCACCTAATACTTTGTTTGCTAGCTTCCCACACATGAATGAACTTAAAGGCTTTAGCATGTCATCTTGGAATGTCGTGTGCTTTTTTTTTTTTAACAAACTCACCTCACTTTCTCCGCTAGCCCATTGTTTTTCAAAGTTTGTGTAAATTCGTTCCAATACGTTACGAGTTTGTTTACAAGATTTCATTTTGAGTTACATTGGTCGGACGTCCTGTAATCTGGATCTCGACCCATACCCCTACAAAACCGCTCCGTAATACGTAACCAAATTGATCACACGATTGGCTCTTTCTCGTGTTGCTATCTTCGGATATGTCGACCTATGCATTCGTTAAATCTATCTCTTCTTTTTGACTCCATCTTCTCGGATAGGCCTTCCCTTTTTTTTTTTGTTGAAGTTGTTCTTCGGGTTCAGAATCAGAAATATTTTCAGTTGAGGGTGTGAAAGACGGTTGGGATTGAAAATGGAATTGGGGTTGCGTTTGGATTTGACATGTTGTTCGGGGTGGTGGGGACTGGAATTGGAATTGTTGTGGCATTTGGAATTGTGAATAATAGCTAGGAACACCACCTAGAAACGTTTGGTTTTGAGATAAACTTGATGGATCCATTTGTGGCCGGTAAGATGGTGGTGATGTCGGATCGTAACTGAAGAGTGGAGATGGGTTGGAAGCATTTTGGTTTGAAGTTGGAAGAGTTGGATTATTGGAAGACATTTTGAGTGAACGTGTGAATTAAAATGAATGGTAAATATGTATATATAGTGGTAAATTTGTTATAAAAAAAAGAGCCGTTTGCCAACGTTCAACTCTTCCAACGGTCACAAACGTTTAAAATTTTCAAACTTTTACCACCGGTGGAAAGCTACCGTCGATATTATACCGGCGGTAAAAAATGGGATCCGGCGCGGTGTTTACCGCCAGTAAATGTGTCATCTCAGCTTACAGCCGATAAACAATTTGTGACACTGTATAGCCTTAGAGAACATTTTCCAAAAGATCTCCATTGTTATCCTCTGTGAGTCGAATAGTTTTTATGAGAGATCTAAAATGTCTGAAATCTGAGTTATTTCCTTTTTCTAAAAATACGTGTTCAATTACAAAAATTGGGTACATTTCATTTTTTCTGAAAACTTAGATAAAGTAGACGGATTATGGAGCTCCGATAATTCAAAAAGACGTGGATCGTGGGGCAAAGTTTTATTTGATTCATGAAACCCCAAAATTGCATTATTAAAAACAAAACAAATACACATATACCGACATACACCTGCAATGCAACAATCAGATCCGAATCTTCGAACCCGGATTCTATTTCACTATCCGGGATTTCAGGGTCTGAAAACTAGATCCGAACCCGAATCCTTGTCCGAATCCAAACCCTATTCCAACCCCACACCCAACCCCAAGTCCAAACGTAATCCTTGCTTGATTCCACGTCGAACCCCCAAATCCCGCGCCGGCGACCAATCCTAGCCCCACTCCAACGCCGCATCCGACCCCGGCTCCGGCTCCCGGACCCAGGATGAATTCTTCCTTTCGAGGGACGTTTTCATCGATGAAATCAGCAGCGGATGAGTTGGAGGTGAGCTTTAACCCCTTCCATTTCCACAATGGCGGATTCTGAATGTTGATCTCCATCGTGCGTATGCAATTGATGGAAGTGGAATTTGAATTTGTATTCGGATTCGGATTCTAATGCCTTGTTGTTTTTTTTATTGTAAGAGGAATTGATGTGGTGGTGGATCATTGGAGGAGGGTTAGTCGATATTAGATAAGGTCGTGATCTGTAAGACAGCAAAAGTGCAATTGCAATAAGCCAAAGAAGACGAAAAAGATGTGAGTTTCGATGTCGACGACCCATGGGTTTTGGTAATTATAGTTGGATACTTGGATTTATCTTAAATGGATATATATGTGTTAAATGAATTAATGGGTTTTGATTAATTGGGATTTTACCTTGTTTTTGTATTTTAATTGAAACTTTAGAGATTGTTTAGTTATCTTCAATTCTTCGTATGTAGTTTCCCTCCAAAGCAAAAAAGAAAGTAACTGTGAATTACATTTTAACACAATTTTGTATTGCATAACTATTATATAAAAATGGGGAACCAGACCGCATTCATGTTAATGTAAAATATTTGTTTTGAAACAAAAAGTTAATCATTAAAATGACCATATAATAAAATGGTTGTGTATTGTTTGTGATATTTATTATATTCGTAAAAATGGATACCATTATATTTATATTACACACATTACATGTCCAACCTATGATATTTGATGTTAGAGTCTTTACAAACTCCACCACCTATGTAATGAGATGGCCAAACATACTTTTCTATTTCTTCTTGTTAATTGTTACAAGTTTTTTCTTTGATAGTATCTTGTGTTATTTGAAAAGTATCTTCTTGTACTTTCTAGAAGTAGTTAGGTTTAGACCTGACAATGGGGCGAGTTTGGAGCGAATCGACCTTGATCCAAACCCTTTTAACAAATTTCAAAACCCGATCCAAACCCATTCCGTAACCCGCAGGGTTTTGAATAATCAAACTCATACCCTTATCCACCGAATCAGCAGATATCCAAACCCGCCCCGTAACCCGTAGGTTTTTTGAATAATCAAACACATTTTACTTAAATCATAAAATCACATTTTTTAAATAAAACAAATGTTGATTTAGAAAACACATTATGTACTCGAAGAGTTTCAATTGGAATTAAAATCATTATTGTAGTTACTTCCGATTGGTTTTTGACCCTCGATTGCATTGATAGAGAATAGCAATTTATAAACTTTCTTCCGGTTGATAAATGAATTTATTGATTTATAAATGAAATTGATGATTACATGATGAAATATAAATGAAATGACATCATGATTCTTAGGAGAAGACTGAAAGTCTAGAAGTTGAGTCCCCGAGTCCGATGTAAAAACAGTTTAGTCTTTGGTATTTTTCTCTTTGGACTTTCGATTGGAATTTAAAGTAAATTTAGGTAGTATAAAATATAAATGTATAATTTTAAAGTTTATATGGAGCGTGTTATAAATGGAGCAGATCAGTGATTATCCATACCCGACCCTTTTAATAAAAGGGCTAGCGGGTATGGGTCGTTAACGGGTAAACGAATCAAAAATTATGCTCCAAACCCCTATAATTGTTAAGGGTTTGGATCGGATCAGGGTCAAAACCCGCTCCAATGTCAGGCCTAGTTAGGTTCGTTAATATTTGCGATATTTTTCAAAATTACAAGTTATACTTTTTATGCATTTTTGTTTCACAAATTATTTGCGGAATGCACTAATTTTGCAAAGTGTTCTTTGTAGTTATATATTGATAAGTTTCGTTGGAACCAAATAACAATTAATTTCAATCTCTTATACTCTTTAAAGCTATGAATTTATAAAATAGTAATATTATAGTACTTATTTGTAGTGGCGGATGTGATAGAATGTTAATGATGAAATCGTTCATAATCCGGTTAGATATTCTTGTTGAATGGTGGTGCGGTGACTTGAAAATTTTCCAAACAGAAGACAGTAGACAGAAACGTATGTATGTTTCATTTATTAATTTGTAATAATTTTAAACTTTAATTAGGTTTTTTTATATATAATTTGTTTATTTTCTATTTTATTGTAATTTGTTTTGCAAGGTGTTTTACCTTGTAAAACTTAGTCATACCACAAAGAAGGTTTTTAAGTTTAAATTTTGAGGGTTTCAATCATGATTCGTGAATACTAAGAAAAGGATGGACATTTTAATATTCTCCAAAAACAAGCTCTGTCTTCTATCTTTGCAAAATGGATAGTCGTAGTGGGTAGCTACTCAGCTAGGAACCCATTTTATTCGTTTCGTAGAGTTGAATTTAATGGTTATTGTGAATGTGTGCTAGTAAAGTATGTAGCTTTATAAAATTCTAACTATTTTCACATGATTATCGAGGGTTGCTATTATGTTTAATAGACATAGAGTGAATTATATGAATGGTCCCTTGAGTATCAGTTAACTATATCTTTTGGTCAATGGTTTATTTGTTGTGCATCCTTATCCTCAAAGAGAAAATTAATAACATTTTGGTCCTAAATGTTTTTTAAATAATCGTTACATAAATTTTATGGAATAGTTATCGATATATCTCTCGTAGGTAAACGAGTTCTTCCAGTCGTTATACATACAGTTTTATTGCAAATTAATCATTTTTTTTTTGTTGATGATGAATCATGCATTTCATTCTATTAAAACGTAATGTTTTTTTTTTTTTTTTAAGATTCCAAATGATTTAAATTCCTATTTGAAAGAAAAAAAACATAAAATTGGTCGGTAATTCATAATTGTGTCATTTGTTTTCTTATAGAAACAATAAATATATCAAATATCTTTTAGATTTTACATTGGTCAGTTTGGGATGACAATTTAAGCATTGATAATTATTAGATATACTATTATCTAATAATAATTACAAGTATTTTTTTTTCTAAAATTCACATAGACTATTAAGCTCAAAGCTTGCAAAACGACGTCACAAAATTGCATCATCATCATCATCATCAAATACATAAACGAAAACACCTTCAACAAATAACAATCAGATCTGAATCACAAGTCTCTTCTTCGAACCCGGATTCGGTTTCACAACCCGAGATTTCAGGGTTTCCCAACTAGACCCGAACCCGAATCCCTGCCCGAATCCAAACCCTGCTCCAACACCACACCCAATCCCAAATCCAAACGCAATCCTTACATGATTCCACGCCGAATTCCCTAATCCCATGCCGCCGACCAATCCTATCCCCACTCCGGCGCCGCATCCGACCCCGGCACCAGCGCCTGGACCCAAAACGGAGTCTTCTACTTTAGGGGCGTATTCGTGGAGGTAATCGGAGATGGAGTATGCCTTCTCTGAATCGGTGGTTAGCTTTAACCCTTTCCATTTCCACAGCGGCGGATCCTGTTTCTTCTTGTTCTTGATGTGTACGCCATTGATGTAAGGGGAGTTTGAATTTGGATTCGAGTGCTTCATGGAGTAGAGGAAGGTTGGTGGATAATGTCTGTGTTTGTGTTTTGACTCTGTTATTGCCAATTTGCCATAAGAAAAAGAGGATGAAAAAGATAATTGAAATGTGGGGCAACAATGGCCCATGGACTTTAACCAAGTTTATTTGGATCCATGAGATTCCATCTTTTTTTCCCATATGGGCCAAATTGGTTTAATTTGGATTTTAATCTTATTTAGAGGTAATATGTATTGGGCCTAATAAAATATAATGGTGTAATAAATAAGGTAAACAATTTTGGTTCTATAGACATATCATAACTTTATGAAATTATTAAAGCGATGTTTTGTACAACTATTTTTGAAAATAAAGAAACCAATGATTAGGAATGAGAAGTGATTTGTATACAATTTCTTTTTATCAATATATAACAATTTGTGCTTTAAGTGGGTTATAGTAGTACAATTTTAATTTAGGTAAATAAATAGATCATGGCTACCAAAGTGATTGAGAAAGGTGGCATGGTATTAACGTTTTGTTTAAAATTGTTGCATTAAATGAATTAAAAACTAATCTTTGGCATTTTGCGTTTGTTTTTATTTTTCTTTGCTAAAATAATCGATTTGTTTGTTTATGTCGTACCATGTTTACATTTTAATATTAGTAAAATATTTATTTAATTATCGTTTATTTAGGATAAAGTACAGTTATGTATCTTAACCTAAAACTATAATGCATTATTCCTTCTAAAAAAATCCAGTCACTATAATTTAACTTATTATTAGTTTATTACTAGTTTGTTCTACCTTTTTTCTTCAAATATTTAAACACCACATGTGCCCCAAACAAAAGTACATGAAATATCACATTTTGTTTACTTAATGGGTATATGCTAATGCTAATATTATAATAAAAATAAATAAAGATATCATATACAGAGCTTATATTAGAGTGCGTGTGTTCAAACCCTGCTAAACCCTGTTTTTGCTATTAGACAACTGAAAAAAACATATATAAGAAAATGTTTAGGAAAAAAATTCAAACTCAAACCATCAAACATATACATAGAGCATAAAACATTAACCAACTAAGCTAAGATACGTATTTCATAATGGAAGGCGTGGGATGCAACATTGTTATTTTTGACAAAAAAATCATTTTATTACAAAAATAAAGATTGAGAATTATTGCCGCACGGTAGTGAATACACCCAATAATTGCATAGGAATGGCTTAATGATTTTACTAGAAAAAATTGCATAGGAATGGACAAAATTTGGATTTAACGTCCACGAAACATGATTAATACTAACCCTTCTATCTCTATTACATACATTATAATACATTTTATAATACATTTTATTCTTTTTTCTTTGAACGGCTTAATGATTTTATCTCTATTACATACACTAGGTGTAAAACCCGTGTAATACACGAGTTGATTAAAAAAAAAGATTAAATATCAAAATGTAAACAATATATATTTTTTAAAATAAAATTTTGAAATAAGGAATGAAAAACATATTAATTGCAATTTATTATGACATCTATTACATTTAATATTTTACATATATATACATAAGTATTATGTGACTTTAACTTAAAAATTGAAAAATCTAGAAATTGACATGTATATTTTATTTTATTTTAAAAATATCACAAAATGACAAGTGTCAAAACTTATGAGAGATTGACATGTGACAAATTGATCTTCATTTATTATGGTAGATTATAATACATTTTATTCTTTTTTTTAACGGCTTAATGATTTTATTAGAAAAAATTAGCAAATAACTAACAAAATAATTGCATAGGAATGGACAAAATTGGATTTAACATCCACCAAACATGATTAATACCAACCCTTCTATTCCAATTAACAAACCAATTATAGAATAATCGATCAATCTATCAACCAACAAATTTTTTGTAATAGTCACTCAAGGTTCTAAATGGTGTGAGGCGTGGCGTGGCGGCAAGGCTAAGCCTCAAGCTTAACGAGCCATGGCGAGCTGACGTTTTTCAAGGCGTGATGTAAGGCGGCGATTTTGTATTAATTAATAATTATATTACCACATAGATATAAATTTATATTAAATATAACTACTTTTTAGAAGTGTTATATCAATAACTAATAACAAAAAGTTAACAAAAAATACAATACTTGTATCATCGATTAGAAAAAAAACATAACAAATAGCAAAAAAAACGTGTCTCAAACGAAAAAACACGCGCCATGGCACGCCATATCACGCATTGCCACGCGCCACGCCTAACAGCAACGTTATGAAGCTTTTCGTAACGGCGAAGCCACGCCTCACGCCATAGCACGCATTTTAGAACACTGTAGTCACTTGAATATTTCGAAAGTTCCATAGAAGCCACAACATAATCATAATTATAGAATCCAAACCATTTCTTTTCATGTTTGAAGGATGTATCGAGTCGAGCCAAACAAAAACATTGTCGAGATCCATAAAGGTCAGGATGTTGATGTCACACAACTTGCCAATGAACCTCTAAAGGTTCGACGCCACTTGGCACGAGAGAAAGACATGCATATTATCTTCAATCTGAATTACAAATGCCACAAATAATAGTCGAAATACCCGTACCTTTCAAATCAAAGTTTAACATAGAAGGAAGTCTTTTTTTCGAAAGCACTAATTAAAAATGTTCACTTTACTTGGAATGAACTTATTCCACCTTGTACGAATCGCACCATATGTGAGGATAAATTCATCTACATACCTTCTAACTTCCGAAACTAAACTCATCACCAACACCCAAATTCCAAACCCACCAGTCGTTATAATTTGAAAGATGACAACCATTAAGTAAATCTTGCAACAGTTGAACATGATTTATAAGATTTCCTTCAAGAATCGGCCTAGAACGATCCCATTCCCACTGGATTCCGCTCCATCTCTCGCTTATAGTACAATCTTTTTTTGTTTCCAAGACATAAAATCTTGGAAATTGTCTCATCAAAGTGTCGTCTTCAATCCATTGATCTTGCCAAAATAACGTATTTGTTATTCTCACATAATGGATCAAAATCAAAACACACCACCACCAATTCATTTTTACTAGACACAGCACCGAGCCAATATTCAAGTTTCGATTCTCCGACCTACTGGTTTATGAAATTGCACCGAGCCAATATTCAAGTTTCGATTCTCCGACCTACTGGTTTATGAAATTGCTCCAAAGTTCACCAATTCCACAACAAAACATTTTCAAACCCAAAATTCTTCCAAACAAACCTTTCAAGTTTCAATCAACTTAAAGTGTAGATTCTCCTCCGGTTTCGATACCCAAAACAAAATTTAACAAACAACCATAAGCTTCGAAAAAAAAAGAAACAAAAAAACGAAGATGTCACAAACATGACCAAGGACATAGTAAGAATATGGGGATATGGTTTTAGCACATGCTTGGGTTGTAATCTATAAAGATAACATCAAAGCAAACAACCAAAGCTAAGACAAATTTAGGGAACGGGTTCTAGACAAGTTCCGCTTGGAAATGAGTTCAAAGCAAACAGAAGAGCTCACACTACCACATTTAATGGGTCCTTCAACAATCTCACAAACCAACTTAAAAGTGGGATAATGACTTTGACAGTTTGACGTCTTAAACGCGACTCTCCAACCATACCGAGCAACTCGGCGTACAAACAAAACTGTCTACTTATATCAATGCTTGGTAAGTTAAGAGAAATGCTATGAATTGGACACTTCACCCGGACATGTTTTCACAATTAAAATGGAAGAAACTCGACAACCAGTTAGAAGAGATGTTAGTGATTAGGGTTTAGGCCCAAGCCCTTTAGGGTTTAGGTGTTCTTTATATATTCCTATGTAATTGTCGTCTTGGGAAATCAAGCAATCTATTATCTTACATGATATCAGAGCTCTAGGTTAAAACCCTACTGCTGACTGCAACCCGTAGCCGCCGCCGTCCACCTCCGACGACATTTTCTCATAGTCGTTGGAGGTGCCTTCATTATGTTCATTTTTTTTTCCGTTTCTTCTCTTCGTCTTTTAAATAATAAAACAGTTGGTGGCACCAAAACAGAGCCCTTTCATCGGCTTCTTCTATTGCCTCGTCTACTTCTACCTCCTCTACAGATAATCCCAAAAAATGTCTTAGTTATCAATGTTATTACGACCAATTCGTTTTAGTATTAAGTATTTTTAAATTATAATATTTCGGAATCGGTTCCGGCGGTTACCCGACGGGTAACGGTTACTAAAAAGTGAAAACCGAAACCGGAACCGGAACCAGTGACCTCGGTTTCGATTCCAAACCCAACGGTTTCGAGGCGGTTCCAGTTCCAAATGCGTGTACGCGCTATCTGTGCTCAATCCTAAGACAATGTCGAGGACGTGGAGCTAAAGATATTTTTAACGGTAAAAAAACAAATCTTGCAATAAATATAAAATGAATATGTAATTTTATTCCGTTGTTTGTTTACTTTTATTTGGTCAACTACGTAAATTTTCATTTATTTAAATTAATGTAACTTTTTTTTAATAATTATTAGTATTTTCAATTAGTATAAAGTTTATTAAAAATTGAAAAGTAGAAATAATTTGGTTGATGTGGTGGTGTCCAAGATATAATTATAAATGATAGCCTGATAAAATAAATACTATAGTAATGAATTTAATATTTGAACAATAATTCTAATTTTTTCTGGACAACCTCTTTTTGTTTATTTACAATACAATTTAATTTCAGACTTTGAATTTTACATCAAAAAACTTTAAAACTATTCTGATTATTTACGATACATATGACAAAATCTTATAAAAAATAAATAAGAAAAAATGTTTAGATTTAATTAAACGCAATGAACTTATTATTAAAGAACTAAGTAATAAAACGAATAAAGAGGATTTATCAATATTTGTTTCTAGTATCTATGTTACTTACATATCAAACATATATGCTTATATGTGTAGTTGGTTCCCAAAGTATGCAAGTCTATTTTGTACAATAGATCATATCATTAAATTTTTTGTCAAGGATAATTTGTTTATTTAAAAAACTTCAACTTCAATACATCATTTTTGTGGGAACTTTGTGTTCGTATTCTTTTCGTGAAAGAGTTTTAAGAGTGACATAATAATTTTCGATAGAAACCATACGTTTGACCTTTTGGTTTGAATTCCTCCTTCGATGAATCACGCCGTAATTTATTATTATTATTATTATTATTATTATTATTATTATTATTATTATTATTATTATTTGCAGTTAATTAAATGTGTTTGACAATCAACTCTATAGCCATAAATAGATATTATGTTAACAAGAAAAACTAAACAAGAAGACTTTGTGTTCATCATCTAGAAGCCATGACCACCGCCACACTAAATGGAAAAAGAAGTCTTTAATATCACTTACTTTAAAAAAAAAAAGTTAAACCGTTCTAAGTGGTTCACGTTAATCCATCCCCGGTTCTAAGTGGAAGGACAATTATGGAATATCAGCAAAATTTTGGATGTGTTAATACTTCCCGACGTCCCTAAAAATATTCCGGCAACCGAATGGTGTTATTCCGGCCAAGTTACTCGGAGGTACCTGTTGTCCCTAATAATGTTGCCACTAATGCCGCTTTTTCTTTTAATAAAATTTATATATTGTATTAGTTTATATTATAAAAATGCATAATTTATAAAAATGCAAAAGGTGCAAACCTTACATAAACAATCTAATAAACATGAAACAGTAATCGTTCTAGTCCATAGTCTAATAAGTCCATAATAACATCTGACCCACAACATAAAACAAGAAATACTAATCGTCTTCCCCATCGTCATTTTCCTCGTCGTTGTTGCTCGCATTGTCGACTTGCTTGCTAAATCAGCAGATAATATCTCCAATTGCGGTCACAAACGCCGGGTTTTGAAGATTAGCGTTAACATCCACATCCTACAAAGTAAGAATATAAGTTAAAATATAAAAACAAATTATTATTACTTAACAATAAAGTCACAAACACATTAAGTCGTTAACAATTTAACAAACTACCAAATTCATAACAAATTAATAAGTATCTATGTTGGTTGCGGTGTTTGTGACTGTGACTGCCACCAAGAGGGAGCACTTGTACCCGCAACGGAAGGTTAGACCCGATGTCTCTCACATGTCCCCTTCGAGCACCTAACACATTCTCTAATAAGGCTATCTAATCAATGGAGTTCGAATCACCATCGGAGTCGGCTATGTGCTGAGTTTGTAAAGCAACCTCAACAACTAAAGCATTTTGTATTTCACGAATATTGTCAATATACTTCAAAACAAACACAAAAAACCAACATTCTACTTCATTTTAAGTAATAATAACTTAACGAATTCCCCTTGTTTATTGACATGCGCACAGTGAAATACTTCAACTTTATTCAAATTGTTTTTAACATTAAAAAATATGTTATACTTGAATAAACATTACAAAATATGTTATAAATGAATAAACATTAATGTAACTTACATTCTTGAAAGAAACACTACCGTAGCTACACGTCCCTCCATGATTCTTAACTACTTGCCTTTTCTGACATTCTTTGTTTACACTAGATCGTTTACAATGCGTATCTGTTAAGAAGTGGTTAATAGTAGCACTCCAACGTGCTTAATCCATACCCGCCGGGGGGGGGGGGGGGGGAGGAGGAGGAGGGGGAGCACTTGCTGCCTCCGCAACCTTTAGCATATCTATAAATTTATCTTTTGCCCTATTTTTGCAGCCTCTATACCGCTGACACATCCGATTGTTCAATGACGCCCATATAATTCTAGCATCGGGATCATTTGAAATGGCTTGAAAATCAAAATATGTCTACAAAAAATAGAGAAGCTAAAAATAAATCAAAATTAAACATGTTAAATCTAACTTTATAAAAATTTTACCGAAAGATAAGTGAACATTCCACACCTTTCGGCTTTAGGAACTTCTTTCCAGGCGTTCTTATCCAAAGCTATGTCGCACCTGATATAACTTCCAACCTCCCAAATGAAGCACTCGTAAACATCCCAATCGACACAAAAGTATTTCTGTCAAATACTATTTTTAGAGGTTGTCTGTCGTTTGCTTCGTATAGCCGATGCATTTTCTTGTTTACTGTCATGCCACTTCGTCTGGGAGGTACAACTGCATAAAAAAATTTAGTCACGATAGTTTTTATATACATACAATATGAAATACTATGAATTAGAATAAATCTTAATTACCATCGATTTGGTGAACACCAAAACCTCCATCGAACGGATGTGGTGGCTCGTCGCCACCATCACCTTCATGGTCCATCACAACAGCTATGAGATGGACCAATGCAACCCAAAAATTTGACATCCTAAAAAATTATAACACAATATATATATATATATATAATATATATATATATATATATATATAGATATATATATATATATATATATATATATATATACACACACAATATGATTTTGTTTTTTGTTTTTTGAATACACATATACACATACAAAATACACATTTTCACATACATATACACATATATTTTATTAATTAATAAATAAACTAAAACGCCTCCTTTATTTGTTTCTCCTATTAAGAAACTAGGCTTTTATCCATCTTTAAATCAATCAGGAATACATTCACAAATTTACAACATATACACATTTATACATTCAAAGATTTTCAACATATGCATATATACGAACTAATTATTTTCAATACACATTTATATATCAATTCAATACCAAATACAAACACATGCATTTACACCACATTTAAAATTAAATGGTCGCCGAAAAAGTGCACCTATGGTCGGAGAACAAATAAGAGGTGGTGGTGGTCGCCGGAGAACAATTATGTTGTGGCGGTGGTGGCTATTGTGGTGCTTAAACAGGAAAGAATCAAGAAATCGGTAAAGGAATCGAGGTCAGAGTAGAGAGAGAAAGAGAAAGGAGGCCATATCGTTGCCGGAGTCGTCGGAACTCGAAGATGTTGGCTAGAAATTGATGCCGAATTCGTCGGAATTCGAAGACCTGTCGACAAAAATGGATGGCCTAGTCCAACGAGTTGGTGGTGGAGGCAAGTCGGAGAAGTTCCCAAATGAAAAAACGTCGGATTCATGAAATCATCGAAATACGTTGGAGAGTTCGAAGGTGAAAAGAGGTTTGTCGAGTATCTGATCCGGGATGAAGGGGAACAAAAGGTGCCCTTTTCGCGGCGACGCCTTTAGCGACGACCCCGGACCCTTATGCGGTGACAAATTGGAGGGAAACAAAGGCGCCATTTGCTGGTGATTTTTGGCCATCGAATCTGCTCGACAACATAGGGCCAAGATTGCTTCTGAAGAGTGTCACACAAATCTATATCAATAGCGGCGACACCGTCGCCGCAAAAAGGTGTCATCGCTATTACCTGGATGAGAAGCAATCTTGACCGTTGGATCTTGTGGGAAATGTATGGCCACGATTGAGTGTAGCATACGTTCGTCGGATCGCCGATTCCTATCATTAGTGACGACACCGGCCCAATAGCAACGGCAATACCGTGTTTATCTGATTTCGTCCAAAATGCCTCTTGGCGTCACTAATGGTCCGATTTCTTGTTCTGTAATATTTAAACTTTAGACTTTCTTTATGAAATTTTACTCTGTAACCACTAGGCTAACACAAGGTTTTTTTTTTTTTTTTTTTTTTTTTTTTTTTTTTTTAATACATAACCTCTAAATCCTACGCCTAAGCTACTCATCTATCGAATAAGAAAATGACACCTTGTAAAACACCTGATACTGCTAGGCCAAATGTTTTTCTCAACATCTAGATAGTTAAGGATTATATATATATATATATATATATATATATATATATATATATATATATATATATATATATATATATAACTTAAGTAGACTTTTGCTAAGTTGTTCCAAGGACTACGTTTGTAGGCCACATGACATGTCTAATATAGTTCTATTTAAGAATAATAGCCTCTGGTAAGCCTTGTATTGGGAATAAACAAAAAGAATAGTCCGTTGTGTATATTGTAAATTATTAATTCCTTTGTATCTTGTTGTATTATTACTTTTTATATAAATATATGCCAAACACATCAAATATGTGTGTGATTTTTATTCCAACCCTTATATGGTATCAGGCCTAATCCTGGTTAGGTTTCAATCTCCAAATTCTTCTTCCCCTCCCTCTCTTCCAATCATATCTTCTTGCCTTTGCCTTCAATTTCAATTGGTGATTTTCTTTGGTTTGTTTAATTCTCTCCCATGGCTCCTTCTTATTCTTCTCCACTGATAACACTCTTCCCATGGCTACGGTTCTTCACATTCTCACACTCAAGTTATCTTTTTTTTTTCTAATTACTTGTTGTGGAAGAATCAAACGCTACATGTGTTAGTTTATCAAAAACTTATGGGGCATATTGATGGTTCCTCTGTTGCACCATCTCCTACTATTATCAGTGAAGGAAAAGAAACTCTTAATCCTTTCTATAACTCATGGTTATCTGATGATCAAAAAGTTGTTATTATCCTTAATGCTTTCTTATCAAAAGAAGTTGTTGCTGAAGTTTTGGGTTTTTCTACTGCTTGTGATATTTGGCTTGTTCTTGAATCTTCTTACAATAATTCTTCTATTTAACATGTCCAAAATCTACGTGATCAACTTCTTCAGACCACTAAAGATAATTCCTCTGTCGTAGATTTTGGTTGAAAGTTTAAAGGCATTTGTGATAAGTTATCTTCTATTGGTTTGCCTATTGATACTGCTGACATGATTCATTGGTTTCTTTGTGGCTTGGACCCCGCTTTTGAGTCTTTTTCCATTGCTATACGGGCATCAAAACCTATACCTAGTTTTCATGATCTTTTAGCCCAAGCTGAGAGTCATGAACTTTTTTTAAAAGTCTCTTCATGGTTCTGTCACACCTCTTGCTACATTTACTACTCAAGAGTACCGCTCCAACACCAATTCTAAGGGTCGTGGTCGTTCCAACAACTCTGATCATGGAGGTGGCTTAGGTGGACGAGGATGTGGTAATCGTCGTCCTCTACATTGCCAACCGTGTAGGAAAAAGGGTCATTATGCTAATTCTTGCCCTACCTTATATAGTTATGCCATAAAGGCACCGTCTCCAGATGCCAACTTTGCACATGCTTTTCAGGCACAATGTCATGTCACATCTTCTGCTCCTGATTGGTATGTGGATTCGGGTGTCACTGCTTATATGACACCATCGTATGACATTGTTCCAAATGCTTCACCTTACTTTGGGAATTCCAAGGTTACCTTTGGAAACAATATTTCTCTTCCTATTTCTTATACTGGTTATTCTATGGTGTCTAATAACATACGATTACGTGATGTATTGGTTATCTAAATCTTACAAAGAACCTTCTGTCTGTAAGCAAATTGAGCACAGATACTCTGGTGGATGCCTTATTCTCTCAACTTTTTTTTTCATATTTAGGGCAGACTAACGAAATAGGTTCTAGCAGAGTGAAAATGCGAGAATGGTTTATATGTTCTTGACGATGGATACAAAGCTTTCTATGTTGTTTCAAGTTCAAGTTTGAGAGCTTCCTTTGAGCTCTAACATAATATACTAGGGCATGTTGCTTATGACGTTATTTCTCTTTTGAATAAGTCTGGATGCTTGTCAGTTAGTTCAGTTTTACCGATACCAATTGTCTGTTCTTCTTTTCAACTTTCAAAAGGACATTGCTTATTATTTGACATTAATAATAAAAGATCTTTGCATCAGTTGGACTTAATTCACTGTGATTTGTGGGGACCTACACATGTTATTTCCGTTGACGGCTACTGTTATTATGTGGTCTTTATTGATGATCCTTCTTGTTTTAGTTGGTTTTACCTGCTAAAGACTAAATCCACATTCTTTTCTATTTTTAATGTCTTCATGAAGTTTGTGTAAACACAGTTCAATCGAAAAATTGAAATCTTTCAGAGTAATAGTGAGACATAATTTGTTAATCAAAATGTTCATTCCTTGTTGGAGGATAATGGTACATTTCATAGACTTTCATGTCCTTACACACCTCAGCAAAACAGATGAGCTGAACGAAACCACTCTCACATTGTTGAAACTGGGTTATCTATGCTTTTTAATTCTCATGTTCACGCCACATATTGGGTTGATGCATTTAGTTCAACAACATAAATCATCAATAGGTTACCCACAAAAGTTATGAATGATCGATCACCATTTGAGGTACGATATTTTCAGGTTCTAATTTATAGCAATTTTAGAACCTTTAGCTGTCAAGTCTTTCCTTATCTTTGGGACTATGTTCCTCATAAGCTCTCACCAAGAATTCTTCCATGTGTATTCATTGGATATAACACTCAATATAAAGGTTATCATTGCCTTGATCCGAAAACCTCTCATGTTTATCTAACACGACATGCTCGGTTTAATGAAACTTGTTTTACTTTTTTTTGATGTTCTACTACCTAAAGACCTTTCCTCTCTTATCTTAACTATCTTTCTTAAAGACCTGTCTATCAACAATGCTACTTGATGTATACCTTGTTGGATTAGTGTCTAAGTCCATAACTATAATTGGTATGTACTTGACCCGATTGGCATGGTCCATTTGGGTTGCATGGCATCAGAACAATTTGGATAGACTTTTATGAGAAAAAGGATATTTATGATTTGTTAATATATTATAAGTTCTAATATATTGATATGAAATCATATTATTTAATTAGTATTGATCAAGTATTAATTTGGAATTAATTTAGTGATCAAAAGAAACTAATTAAATATACGGGGATTGATTGTGTAAACCATTCATTCTTATATATGTGGGCTTATGATCCATGATTCCTTATGTTGGGTTTAACCCATGTGGTGACCCATGGATACTCCATGGAGGTTAAAACCCATGGAGCATAAGGAATGAGAAAAGTCATGAGTTACATGGTGTAACCCTAATAGCCACCATATATAAGGACCCCATGGCTCAAGAAATTGACACTAGTGTGTGTACACATGAGGGCTAGTTGATTTGAGCATAGGAACCTTTTCTCTCAAGTTATTCCAAGATGTTGGTGATGTTGTGTGAACCATTTGAGGTGTCACACTTGAGGCACTAGGCTCTTAAGCTTCATGGAATCAAGCTACAACAAAGAGGTATGTATTCTATCTAGTTTTGTTATCCTAGTACATATGATTGTATGCTAGTTAGGGTAATACCTTGGAAAATTTATATTTGCATGTATAATAGAGAAAACATAGATCCAAGGTATTTAGGGTTGCATGTACACCTTAGGAGTGTTAGA